ATGGGGTCGACGACGAGCGGGTAGCGTCTCAGTCTTGCTACGCAGGAGGGATGGTCCCTCTGATCAAAGGTGATCAGGGACTCCGACCAGCTGAGAAAGGAGGGGACGGCCGTCTCGGCGGCGCACACCTCCCTGTAGCGTACCTTATGCTGGCGTTTAGTCCAGATGGCGTCGGACCCGCCGAAGATTATGATGCACTCCTCAGGTTTGGGGAAACCGTCTCCGTCCTTGCCTCTCGCGCCTCCCCTCTTGGCTGCCGTCTCCCTCCTTTGACCCGCCGATCTGTCGGAGGAAACATTTGAGGAGCTCGCACTCCTTGTAGAGGTGTTTGACAGGGCAGGCGTGGTTCGAGCATGGACCATCCATGAGTTTGTTGAAGTGGTCAGGCAGTCCCTGTTGGGGCTGCCTAGGCGTGCGATCAGCCACGGCGACCAACGCGGTGTTGTCCGACCGGCGCCGATCATTTTTGTTCTTCTTGCCCCTCTGAGTGGAGGGGCCTTCGTCTGGATCCGCGCGCTTGGGTTTGCCTTGGTCCCGGCCTCCACTAAAGACCGCTCCGACCGCCTCCTCACCAGAGGCGTGGTTGGTGGAAACATCGAGCAGATCATGGGTGGTGCGGGGTTTTAGGCAGCCAAGCTTGTGGATCAGGGACTCGCAATTTGTCCCGAAAAGGAATGCGCTGATGACGTCTGCGTCGACGACATCAGGGAGGGAGTTGCATTGTTGAGAGAACCTACGGATGTAATCCCGCATGGACTCGCTGGGCTCCTGCTGACAGCTCTTGAGGTCCCAGGAGTCCCCGGGCGGACGTACGTCCCCTGGAAATTCCCGACGAAGACCCTCTTGAGGTTCGCCCAGTCGCGGATGCTGTCGTGTGGAAGGAATTCAAGCCATGCCCAAATATGTTCCCCCACGCAAATGGGAAGATATTGGATGATGAAATAGTCATCATCCACTCCTCCGGCTCAACAGGCGAGCTAGAAGTCTTCGAGCCAAATGCCTGGGTTAGTCTCCCAGTGTATTTGGTGATGTTGGAGGGAGGCCGGAAACGTTGTGGGAACGGTGCTCTCCGGATGCGCCGGCTGAAGGCCCGTGGCCCTAGGCCCTCAGGGCTGGGGCTTCGGTCGTCCGACCGGCGACCGCGCCTGGGGCACGTTTCACCGCTTCCCTTGATGGTTCGGCCGGGATCCGTGTCACCTACTGCCGTACGGTGGACGTCGTTGCCGTGTTGGGCCCGATGCCGGTCACTGATGACGCTACGAGCGTCTTGGTGTGGATCGGGCCGCTCGCGTCCCGGCGGTCGGTGTGGAGCAGGCGCCCGGTCGGACCGTGGCACGGCTGCCGCACCCCGAGCCGAGCCTGACGGCTGCATTGGCGAGCGAACTGAGCGATCCGGCTGGCGCATCCTCGTCCCCCCGGTGGGGAGAGAGGGGCGGGTCGGAGTCGTGATGTGGAGCTTTCCGCCTGTTGGACGGCGGCGGCCTCTACTAGAACCCGGAGGTTCCGGTAGACTGCCCGCTCTTGAGGGTCGACGGGCTCGGGAACACCACGCAGAAGCATTACTACAGCAGCGATATTCTGGCCGGCCTAGGCGAATTGTGGGACATCGTTCCCCTCGTTCACAATGTCGTGCTGGACCTAACGAGCGCGACCCCAGGCGCCACCCGCCGGACCATGCGCATGGAGAGCAACGTGCCACATCGACCGCGCCGGCGCAGGCGGTGGCTCTCTACCATCGTTGTCGTAATTCCTCGGCGTGCGCTTGCGTAGACGTGAGGTCCCCCGCACGCGTGTCCGGAGGGGTGCGAGTTTGCGCAGATTTCGCAACCACCGGCGGTTGTCCTGGACCATCCGCCATAGCGCACTCCCGGGACGGATGGTGGCGGGCCGCCACATCGCCGATGCTGGAACCGTCGCTCTCACCCTCGTTATCCGGGAGTTCGTGGGAAACGACAGGAGCGAAGCCTGCCATTCCTACGAATTCGGACGTGAGTGGGGATGGTGCCAGCGGCCTTCGGAGCCCCGAGCGCGAGCGTCCGCGGAGGACGCGAAGTCGTAAGGGAACCGACCGTACGGTGTTTGTGGTGTAGGCGATGCAATCCCTCCGGGTGATCGGCGGGAGACAGTAAATAAAGGGTGAACAAAAGTACGCATATTACTTACAGTGGGGTTTGAGCAGAGAGTTTGCTTGGAATGAAGCGCAGATGCCGCGCCATTGAGGTCGCGTGTCCCGGAGTCAATGGAGGACGTCTCTCTGACGGGTGCCGGGTCACGAGTCTCCTCGTGGAGGTGGAGTACGCCGAGCCGGTCGGCGACGGAGTCCAGGCTTCCGAAGAGGAAGGCCTGGGATGGCTCGAAAATGGGTGGAACCCGCATTCCCGCAGGCGAGAGTGTGGGATGTTCCAGCGAGCCGAAGCGAATCGTGTCGCCCGAGCCCGCCACGGCGGGGGTGGTGAAAAAATGGGCCATCCGATGACCAAAAAGTGTTGAACGTACAACGTCTTCCCCACGGACGGCGCCAACTGTCGGTTCAGAAAGTGACCAACTAGTGAATATTTGTAGTTTTGCTGTACGTTGTGATCGGATGTGGCCTAGCACTCAATGACACATGATTTATATTGGTTCAGGCAACGTGTCCTACGTCCAGTGTGGGTCGGTCGATGACTTTATTCTTGAGCCCAGGTGCTCGAAGTCTGTAGCGGGGTTACAAACGAGAAGGAGAAAGGAGGGGTGTACGAGAAGCCCGGTCGGGTCCGATCGGAAGGGCCGAGGGCGACCGGAATTCCGCTATGAGCTAGGTGTTCAAGCGTGTGCTTGAGGAGTTTGTGAGCTATCGATCTAGTGAGTCTGAACTTGAAGAAGTGGACCTCTGGAAAATTGATCCCCCTCGTTGGAGGGAGCGCATCCCCTTTTATAGATGAAGGGGATGGCTTTACAGGTGAGAGGGGGAGAGTACGGATGTTACTAAGTCTTGTTGCCCACGCCGATGAGGACAGCCGATGGTAGGAGCCCACAAAACTGTTGACGTCACTGTAGAATGTCAGGTGCACATGGGAGGTTGCGTTGGCTTCTTCAGGAAGGGTGGACGTCGATACCTACAAATACTATTGGTAGGTGAGGAGCCCCACCACGTGTACTAGGTATGGCGAACCCTGACGCCCACTGCCGATGCCCAGAGGTATGTGGGGGGCTTTTTGCCGTATGGGAGCCTAATGGCGCCTACAATACTGTAGACATAAATATCGGCGCCTACAATACTGTTTATGTCAGGGCGGTTGAGGAGCACTGTTCCCGCAGGCGTGCAGGGTATGGTCCCGGTATCGTGGTTTGACTTTGTGCGCTGCCTTCTCCGTTCGCCCCTGGTCCCTTCCGAGCGAGCGCCCCCGGTCGGATGGCCACAGTCGGTCCTAGCCGCTCCAGTCAGAGAAGAGCGGTAAGCAGGCTTCCTACGGGTCCCCGGTCGGAGTAGCGGGGTCGGAGTAGGAAACAACGTTTTAGGCCGGGCCTTCCGATCGGAGAGACTACCCGGAGGCGGCTGGTGCCCGGGGCGAGCGTTCCGGTCGGAGGTGGGCCGAAAAAGTTGATGAGTGGGCGTTCGTTCTATCGGGCAGACCTTCCGGTCGGCGACCGGACTGTCCTTCGGCCCGTCGTATTTTTAGATCTTCGGGCCGGCCCATAAACAACATGTTGTTTTCCTGGGCCAGGCCCGGCGTGGAAAGCCGGTCCCCGAGAGACCCTGGGTTTGTGAACCCGACAAATAGGTATCAAGATTTATTCCTGCACAGAGGGATCGGATGTGTTTCTTGTTCAACGAAGTCGGAGTAGCTGGCCAGCCAGCCAGCCATTGCTCTGCCTTAATTGGCCAGGCAAAATATTTTTTTTCTTGTGGTTAGAACAAGCTAAACCAAGCTTTTCTGTGACGAAAGCTGTCCATCAGTGCACAACCGTTTAGCAAAACAGGGTGCTATTTGTAAGCATGAACTATGAAACTTGCACGAAATTTAAGTTTACCGATTCTTGCAGATATTTCAGGACGAATTGACATATATCCACTTGCCAACGCGGCGCGTCACACGTCGCCCGAGGACTTCAAGCGTGGTTCCGTCCAACAAACGCTTCCTGATACATTTGACTGCCGCGCAATTTTCTTTTGAACAAATGTAGCAATCAGCGGCTCATCGCGGCTCAAGATCCTCAAGGAACTGCGAAATACGTTGACTAAGATTTAAAAAAAAAAACATCATGATGACAAAACTGCCACCGACTAATTGGGTTATAAGATTCTGGGATTTGGAAACGTCCAGCGCGAATTTCAGCTACCGGTGAACAGAAGCAACAATTCCACTGCTGACAAAACGGCATTGACAGCGTACTACTCCAGACTTCGGACAGAGTCCCGTTTTAGGAATGCTTTAGAGTTTACCTTGGATTTGGCCCATAGCATCTGACGGTTGCTTGAATTGGCATCCAATCCAACTAAGAATATACGTGGGCAACATTTTCCCAAAGGTGTGAGTCAGACAGTAGAAGAATTCTGATCTGATGATTCATGACAGTTTACCAAATTATCAAATGGGTTTCACAAAGTGGCACAGTTACCTGGACCTACATGATTCCTTTCAGACATCGGCCTTGGCATATTGCAACCTGCAGGAGAGAACTGATCATGACAGTTTAGGTTTAACCAGTCAAATCACTGATGTCTCAACCAATTGTGTACCCAATTACTTACTTTAGGGGAAGAAATAAGACGACTGTAACAAACTCAAGCTCCATTCCAGATTCCAGAAGTGCAGTACAGGATGGACTAAGCCAAATCCGATTTAATAATTGAAAACAATATACAGATCATCAAGTGACTATAGTATGCCAAAGGGCTTTACTGGAATGTCATTACCATCATGTGTGTACATCAAAGTCAGATTATATGTAAAAATACAAAAAAAAACTAGTGTTGAACATATTGTTTCCATATGGCATGGCAGACCGGGTATTATAGATCATTCAATCCTCTCATGGTAGACATTCAGGACATAGCTGTTGAGGAGATCACCAAATGTCTTGGTCGAGAATTTTTGCACCACATGGTCTCGTGCTTGTTCACCCAATCTGACAGCAAGATCATGATCATTCACAAGTTTCAGCATGGCTTTGGAGAATTCTGCGGGAGAGGGATCACACAAAAACCCTGTTACTTCATTCACAACTGTTTCCACTGGGCCACCACTATTGCAGGCAATTACAGGCTTATGGGCTGCCATGGCTTCAAGAGGTACAATACCGAAATGTTCATCCTGGATAAGTACGAGACACAGGCTTGTTTATTAAGGTAAATAGAATGCTTAGCTTGATGTAAGCCCTAGCACAGCAATACACTTACCTTGGGAGTGTATAAAACACAGAGGCAGTTGGAGAGAAGCTCGTTTCTTTCAGATGTTGAGCAAGATGTAACAAAATTAACCTGTCCAGACACCCCTTCAGTCACTGCGAGTCTTTTGAGTTCCTCAAGGTATTCAACATTTTCCTTCAGACGCTTATCATAGCCACCTAAAGATTGAGCATGGTAGGAAATCAGCGCAGTCAATATTTTATATTGTTTAAAACCCTTGATTTTGTAACATTGAACATGCAACTAGAAGGAAAATAAGTATGCAAACAAAAATCACCTGCCACTGTTAATGTTGCTTCTTGCAGAGCATCACCAGGTAGAGTCGAAGCAAGAGAATGGAGCAAAGCAAATGCTGAAATGGCAAGATCAAGATTCTTTTTCCTCTCAAACCGGTTGATTGATAGGAAATTCAATCTGTACAAAAGATGGTTGTCTAGTTTAGCTAAATCTGAATATGATAATGGTAAGAAGATCTGTTTAGTCTAAAAATTGAATAAGTGAGACCTAAATGTAAGGAGATATACAAGCATGAAGTTACTTATAAGCATGGGGTTCGTGAAACTGCTCAACAGAGACAGCTGGATATAGAACACCAGGCTCGATTCCTCTAGCATGTAAACCAGAAAAGGTCCTTGCAAAATTTGCTGCAGTGAACTTGCTATTAACTAGAATCAAATCAGCCATACCTGATATACATAAAAGGTAACCACTACAATTACAATGCTGCTGGATGCCAAGACATATTCCAGAAAAGGGAAGAAAAAATAGCAGGTACTCAAATTCGAAATGCAGAAGACTATACCAGTAGTCGTTTCCTCAATCATGTCAATTGGCTTACGATATAACCTCCGGAGCATAGTAGTATGTTGTGCAAGTAATAGATCAGGGAAGTGACAATAAAATATTATCTGGAGATACAACATATAAATTGTCATCAAGGAGCTGCAATTGGAGAACAGTAAGCACTTCATGCAAACAAGACACTGATACCTTTGATGATGCCCTTAGTTTAAGTAGTGGAATCACAACAGAAACCTGGTCTACCAATATGACATCAAAGAAGGCCCATCTGAGTAGCACACAGAGTGCAACAAAAATGCAGCGAAGATAAGCACAAACAGCATGAAAGCGGTAAAACACATGACGAGGCAGGAAATCTCCATATACAGTAACTGGAAACAAACCTGCAAATGACCAGAGAAAAAAACTAGGTAAGAATTGTATTTGCATAAGCACCAATTTTATACATAATCTGTAATTTTTTGCATTGCAGGAATTGAATTAACATGGAAGTGACCTGGGACAAGTGTTCTGAATCAAGGCACAGCGTGTAAAACACAAAACACCACAGGGAAGCTAGTTTAACTGTATTTAGAACTAGGGTGTCAACAAAATATACGTAGGTAAAGTTCTGAGCCTTACCAGAAACAGTCTCCTCAAAGCAACGGTTTTTATCATGATGTGATGTGAAGACATGAACATCATGGCCGTGGGCAGCAAGATGGCAAGCCGCATCGACAATCAATCTCTCAGCACCACCTACACAAAAGGTTGACTATAGTTGAGCAGCTTCGATCTTTCATGCTGCGAGTATACATTGATCATACTGCAGCAGCAGGTACTGCAAAAGGTACATAGAAATTATTCTGTAATCTGTCAACTGTGAGCTACCCATGGCAAGCACGACGCAAATACACTTCAAACTAGCACGATCACTTCCTGCATCAAGCTAATTGAACGGAGTCGCTACTTCACAAGAAGCATCACTCACGTATGTATGAAAACAACACTCCCTCGACACAGGGATACCGCCTGAGTTGCCATACTCTCCTAAATATTACACAAAACTCGAGAACCTCCTATGTCTCCAAATAGAGTTTGCGCTCCTCTTGCAGTTGAAGACACCCAAAATTTTCTGTTCCTGAAAGGTTAACCGGATCTAAACAAATAAACCTATGCGACATCTCAGATTGGACAGTGCGGGGACGCAAAGCATGAGCACGAGCGACCGGAGGTGGAAGAGGGCGACTTACCGATTCCGAGATCCGGGTGGATGACGGCAATCTTAAGCCGTTTCGTCCTCGTTCCCGACGAAGCGCCGGCAATTTCTCCTCCCGCCGCCGCCATCTTCTCCGACTGCCGCAGTCGCCAGTCGTCGAGTTCCCCGATCCGAGATTACACACTCACAAGACGAGAGCCCGGCCCAAAAGGATCCACTCAATCCAGAGTTCATTGAATAGCCTTTGCGACGCATAGCCCATGTTCAAACGTACCGTGCGCATTGGGCCTCTTTCATCGTGGCCACGGCCCTGCCGTGCGCTTGCGGTGGTAGACACGTGGTGTGTTTGCAATATCCATTTAAATAAAAATACAGACATCTGGTTTAATATTATAAAAATTGTTTCAACTCAGTAAAATATGAAACCAGTTTCATATTTTTTTCTAAAACTATTCTCTATGTTTCCCAGAGTTAGGAACCACAATGTAGAGCGTGATTTTAGGAAATACAAGAAGTTCAGCATCATAATCCCGTCCACACTGTCTTCCTACTCGATCCACATGCTCCTGGTGCGTGCATAGACCTATGGCAGCAACAACGACTAAGGCCATGTTCGCTTGAACTTATCAGCCTGACTTATCAGCTATGATATAGTATTTTTCTCACTACAAATCAGCGAATGGTATTGTCGGTGTTTTGTAAACCGGACTAGTAAATTTATACGATTGTCGCGCTGCTCTAGGAAGATGATGGTATCATCCAAAAGACACGATAATTTATACTGGTTCAGGTCGGAGCCCTACGTCCAGTCTCAGAGATGATCGAGTGCGTGCTTGAATACTCTGAAGTTCTTACAATGGGGGGTGCAAGAATGGTGGAAGAGGTAGGAGAGCTCGAGCTAGGAGATTAACTGCCTGAAAGAAAGCTTAAGGAGTCCGGAGGCTGTGAAGAATGTGAAGATGTGTGGATGTTCAGGATGGAGGATGCCCTAGCTACCCTTATATAGAGTTGGGGGCCAGGACATGTATAAAGAAAAAGCTTCTCCCAACCGAGGGGTCGTGAACTTGAGGGAGGGACCTAGTTAACTTGGCTTGCAAGCTTTGCCGTATTGTGGTGCACGTCTGGACATGGTTGTCGTCATAGTCTTATGCCCACGTCGTGGTAAGGTGTGGCGTGGTGCTACTGTACCGACCGTGGCGGCATTGTAGGCACGGTGGTGGTTCGTCAGCCGTCATGTGCGATGTGGTCTCCGCCGTGACCTTCGTCATTGCCTCCTGATCTTCTGGGGGCGTCATACAGGAGTTGGTAGGCGCCCCCAGGTCATCGGTCGCCTGGTTAGCCTGTGGAGTTGGTGGCCATGATCCGGGCTCTAGGGTTGTGGCTCCTATCGGCCTGGATGGCCTCTAACTCAAGGCCTCCGTTGTGGATCCCATCCCGTAGTGGGTAGAATCGTACATATGTCTTGTTGGACCGTATTTGAACGGTGGGTCGCCTAACTGGCAGTCATCGTTGGGCGGTGTTGTCTTGTCCGTGTTGCGTGGCATGGAGATGGCGTCTGACCGGACCGAGGTGACCGTTGTCCCCTCGGTCCTTGCGGGGTCAGTACGGCGTGTCCACTCTTGTCAGAGCATACGTGCTTGGCTGGGCTCGACCTCTCTCCGTTCCTCCCAGGGGTCGGGACGACAGAGAGGTCGTGAACCCTTGTGCGGTGTGTGGCCAAGATAGAAGGGAGGGGTCGTGGCTGACCCCGTCCTTGGCGTCTAGCCTGATCCGCTTGGCTTAGCTAGGCCTCGGTTGTTTGGGCTTTCACTAGTTGATGTATCGTGGGCCGCTCGGCTTGCTAACTAATCGATGCCTTGAGGCACCTGGAAATCATAATCTCGATAAGTACTTTTCAGCCTGTCTTTTCAGCGAAGCGAACATGGCCACCTAAAGTAGCAGTTGCGTCCATCCGAATGTTGTTGACCAAGTCATAGATGTTAGTCGGGAATCTGAGAAGTAACACACCGACTGTTGTTGATGGTCCAATAAATCTACACACGTCATTGTCATGATGTCCTACGAAGAAGATAATGTTACTGCAAAGTTAAACCTCATGATACATGTTGAATTGTTTTTTTTTTAGAATTTTCCATGTAAGTCTCGGTGGTTAGGCTAGACATTGTTGTTGAGGAAACGCTTTTTGCAGTTTGCACAATGGGTTGCGTTGAGTCATGCTGTAGTCTAGAAAAACTTGTCTTGATCTGCATCCTTCATTTCATATTTGACCTAGTTCCAAATTTTAGAATACCATATAAGGTCCAAATAATTATAAGCAAGGAACAAAAAGGTACAACATGATTTTAAAAAATGTGGAACTGGTTTTATATTTTTTTCTAAGTTAAAACATTTTTTTAATATTAAATCAGATTCTATTATTTTTAAATATATATTGATTCTAGAAAATATATGGATATTTTTTAAAAAATATATAAAAAAAGTCAAATTGATCTCTTTGAACTATCACGAAAGGCTGATTATATACCTTCTTTGTTGCTGATGTGGCGCCAGATAGAATATCTGATGTGGCAGCTAAGTACTAAGAGCGTATATAAGAGTTTTCTAAATTTTCTCCTAAAAACACCATGGTTTCCAACTCTTAAAAAGATATTAGGAGAGAAAAAGAAGCTCATCTCCGAGAGTACCTAATATTCCACTATAAAAACAAATTGATCGGTCTCAGAATGTTTTGTATCAGAAACCCTAAATTTGTTTCTATACCCGTTTAAACTATCCCACCATATCTTTTTCTTACGCTTTTCTCACCTGGAACCTATATTTCCTCATTTTTCCTTTTCCACTCCCTTCTTCTCAGCCTCGCAACAGAGCAGATCGCGCGTGCGCGTGCCACCAGGCCACGGCCGCCGCCGGCCACGCCCAGCCGGCCACTAGGCCCTCTCACCCGGCCGCCAGCCACCCCAAGCCAACCTGCAGCATCCCTCTAAGCTTTATACTAGGTTTTACTACTTGATGGAAGAACCTACAGGAGACGGGGAGGATGGAAACGCGGCGGCTGTGGTGCGGCTTGCTTTGCCGGCGTCCATGGCAGGCGGAGAGGGAGAAAGCGCTAAGGCGAGGGCGAGCCAGCCGGGGTCGCAAGGCATATACGCTGCGAGGGAATCGTGCGCATCTTTACGCGCAAATGGGTATGTTTTCCAAAGTTCTTAGAAGATTAGGAGGTGATATTAGGAACAGTTGGAGAGGTGTTTATTTAATCTTGTTAAAATTAAATGATTAGGAAAGTGTTTTGGGAACTCTGCTCTAAGGGGTAATTCTGATGGTTTCTAAGAGTTGGTGTAAAAGTCTGATTTTTCAATTGAAGACGACAAAATAAACTCGCGCAATAGTTGAGGCAGTTTAGATGGACTTTTTCCATTCAGATCAGAGAAGATGTGTGTCAACGATCAACGATGTCACTTGCATACAGTCCCTTTCACAATTCCAGTTCCCAGCCTCCCATGCAAACATGGACGCAACCTGGCAATTGCATACAAGTATTTATTCCCTTTGGCAGTTCAAGGCGATTATTATCGAGGCCCAATGTTCTGGCTCCTGGCCTCCTGGGCCACTGGCAGATTAGCAGAACACACAACCGGTAGGTCCGGTACACGTACACCTATATGCGGCAACGTTACACACACTGATCGACACACAAGGCTCTTTAGGCGGCGCCGTTCTTGGAAGGGCACGGCGTAGGACGGGCGTCGGGCGACTGGTTGGAGATGGAGATGAGCTTCGCCCTGTACCTCTGCTCCGCCACGTCCTCGTGCCCGTTCTCATCCATGCCGCTGCCGCCGCCGTTGGGCGGCCTGATGACGGGCGCCCCGATCTCCGGGATCGACTGGGAGATCGCGATGAGGGACTGCCGCGCGGCTTCCATTTGCGTGAACTCGGCCGGTGCTGCTGCTCCGGGTGAGGCCATCAACTGAGCGCTGCAGTTCATGTTCAAAATCAAAGAGGAAGGTAGGTGAGAGCCATAGCTAAACATGGACACATCACACATGGTGCAGTGCAACTCTGATGAATGAATACATTCTTTTTTTGGGGGCAAATGATGAATGAATACTTTGAACAGAAAGGAAATAGTAGCAGGTAGGAACATGCGTGGATGCACTTCACATGGGCAGCTGTTACGAGTAGCTATCAAGCGTGTGTACTAAATTAAGCAGCTAGATAGGTACAGGGCTACAGGCCAAAGGTTCTCACATATTTTTCAGCATGGATTGGAGTTTCTAGCTAATGCTCATATCAAAAGGCAAAGTATCAAACTGCAACCTAATAAGAGCCGTCCAGTTTGAGTGGCAGGGAAACATCTCACTGAGTGTACACAGGGAAGGTACAGCTAAATTTGAGAATAAATAGCATACTCCGGTTCAGTTTGAGTGGCGCGCATTCAAAGCCAGTTTAAGTGGCGCACATATACGTATAGTTGAGTTTGAAAGGACCACACTAGAGCTACATAGTGAGTCAAAACTGTTCCTTTTCCCTGGATATAGATATCTTCCACTATGAAACTAGGAAGTGAAGAACAAATAGGCTAGCATAGCATCGATCATTACTATGACCTTCTGGCCAGCTACTCCTGACAGAAAAAAGGTTAGCATAATCTTTATACTTCCTGATCGCAAGATACACACATTTATGATTTACATTGAGAAAAAAAATTGCGTTGATTAGGTGAAACTTTGACACTAGAAGCATGGACTTGGGCAAACAATACCGTATCAAATCAAACTAAACGTTCCTGCAATTTCCATCCTAACCACTCAAAATTGGCAGCAAAATAAAGTTCCAAGTTTAATGATTGAAATATAAGTCATCCGTGTTGAACACAAAATAAAAACTACGAGGAAACTAATAAAGTCAGTGATGGAAACACATCCTCGTGTACTTCTTGATTTTTACAGTTGTGGACTGACAGTTACGGCGTACGACTACTTGATGCAATTAATACAAGAGAACTGCAGCTTCATATCAGCGTCATTGATAGTATGCATAAGTTAAGCAAATCCATTCCACGCCTTGGATGACACTAAATTACTCCAAGCGCACCGTAGAGCAAGGCTACAGCCGGCCTGATCTTTGCATCCTTCTCTCAGCCCACTCATACTCATAATAGTTACCTCTTCACTATTAATACATGACCCACTTATCTCTCTCACAAAGTTTCTCAGTTCTTGCGTCTAAAAGTCGGCCGGAAGTAGCCCCTTTTCTTCTCTCTCCTCTCATCTCTCCTTCAGCAAAGCATTTGGCCGGCTATTATACTTGCTCTTAGTTGGGCGAAAAAAAAGCAGTATGGCCACGCCCTTGAGTAACAGCTTCTTCCATTAAATCACCCTTAAAGACCATGTTTACCGCGACAACATATGCTCGTAGAATCGTACGAGCAGGCCACCGGAGCCTACTCCTCTCGTATTTGCTTGTAAAGCATAGCAACTGAAGTAGTCTGAACAGAGACAACCCCCCTTTTTTTTTCTTTCAGCACATTGAACCCAAGGCCTTTTAATTTGCAAAGTTCCAGGCTAAACAGTAAACATACTAACCCTAGAGAAGTTCTCGCGGTGGAATGTAAGAACAGCACGGTTCAGCCATGATCCATAGATCCAAGAAGCTAACCAAGCACTGAACTAAAAAACAGAGATACGCGACACCAGAACCTCACAACACACACAGTATCACACGGCTGCAACTGCAACCGGCGCTAAAACACGGACGGAGATGGCGGGACGGGGAGCGCTTACTGGAGAGGCGGAGACGAAGCCGGACAACCGGAGAAGACAAGGAAACAGAGGGAGCTTTCAGGCAGCAGCTATGGGCGAGATAGAGAAGCCATAGGGAGGGACAAACCGGGCAGCCCAATTTCTTATAGCTAAGGGCGTGTTTAGATGCAAAAAATTTTAGGTTTGGGCTATCGCAGCACTTTCGTTTGTATTCGATAATTAGTATCTAATTATGGACTAATTAGGTTCGAAAGTTTCGTCTTACGATTTCTCACCCAACTGTGCAATAAGTTTTTTTCATCTATATTTAGTACTCCATACATATGCTGCAAGATTTAATGTGATGAGTTCTGCGCAAAAAAATTTGGAAACTAAACAGGCCCTAACGTTTATCTCGACTAGGGGCGAGCGGTGGACGACCTTTGGACCGCCGCGGCGTCCCCCGTCGCCACGTTTGTTTGAGCTCGTTTGCTTTATAATTTATGAGTAAAAATACGGTTGATTAGTTTAATATGAGAAAAAAAATATTAAAAATATTATTGATTAGTTTGATATAAGAGAAAAAATATATTATTCGTTAACTAATAAGTCATAATTTATAAGCTAAATACCAACCGGTGAACAGTCTGGGTCCGGGGCGAGGCTAGTCCGGATGGCTCCAGATCGGACACGAGCTGAGGATAAAGCGACGGGGAGATTTGCAACACGCGAGTCCGCGTCACCCGGCACATGACTAAGTGGGGCCCACCAGCCGGTGAGACTGGGAGCTGGGGGTTCTAGGCATTGGCGGGTCCCGCAGAGTGAGTAGCGTAGCGATCTGGCGGACTCGAGAACCCTCGCTCTCCGACGTCAAAACGTGTAAAGTACTAGTAGTAGATACGTATGCTGTTGGACAAGACGACGAGCAGGTAATGGAGGCAATCCCCGGCAATGTTTGCTCTAGGGAGGAAGTGATGATGTCGCTGGGCTGCTGCACCTGGAACCGCAAGCAATACCGATGATGGGTTAATAGGAAATCCTCGGAATGAGAGAAAACTTTATTTATACTTACTGTAGCAACAACAGCACTTAGCTACAATGCATCGCAGCCACAGCGCACCCTTGTTCATGTACAGTTTGAGTCCATGAACTCGTACCCTTTTTATATTAAACCGAATGTAAGTCATTTTCTTTCACAACGGAGGATATGTTTAGATGTCATATATCCATCTTAATCTATATATGTTGAGGTAGATATACGGGCATTTAAATAGAGCCTAAGTGGGTCTTTGTGTGTACGCACGAGCTCAAACATATCTTCAATGTCACACTATTGCTTAGCATTTGAACATCGAATTTTATTTTAATTTCTGCATATATAGAAACATTTGTTGTAGGCATACAATAATTTACAGCAAAACAAGTTGATTGAACAAATTTAAGGATGCTTCTCCGTTCAAGATAATAATAATCACAGGGTAGCTTGTCTCCAGGAAACCAAACTAGATCGACTTGACCGTAACAAATCCAGATCCTTCCTCCCCTCTAACCTCTCGGCTCACAATGATGTCCCGGCCAATGGGACTAGGGGAGGGATCGTAACGGCTTGGAACCCCTCTACGCTCACCGCTGGCCCCTCCTTCTCTGGCTAGTTCACTCTAACCATGCTGTTCATGCCCACTTCCTCTGACCTCAAGTGGTCACTAACGTCTACGCCCCGGCTGACCACAGAGACATGGACACGTTCCTCGCTAAGCTCTCTAATATCATTGTGGATGACTTTGTCCCCTAGTTACTTGTTGGCGACTTTAACCTCACTCGTTCCCCTAGCGATAAGAACACCCCTGGCTTTGACAGTGCTCTTGCGGATCGCTTCAACACCACCATCAACTCTCTAGCCCTCATGGAACTCCCTCTTTTGGATCGCAACTTTACTTGGAGCAACAAGAGAGAGCGCCCTACTCTAGCTTGGCTAGATAGAGCGTTCCTTAACAACTCCTTCAGCTCTACCTATCCAAATGCATCGCTCACCTCTAGAATAGGTATCACCTCAGATCACATTCCACTACTCATACAGATCCTCACCACCATACCAAAGCCCCACTGCTTCCGGTTTGAGAACGCCTGGCTCAAACATAGAGACTTCCTGCCTGTGGTCACCACGGCCGGGGTGGGTGCCTCCACCTCTACGACGGATGCGGCTGGCATCCTAGTGGCTCGGGTCAAGGCTCTTCGACACGCGGCGGATGTCTAGTCACATAAGCGTTGATCCAAACCGACCACCTTCCATAATTGTACCTTTGTTATCCTATTACTTGATCTGTTCAAGGAGTTCCGATCACTACTTGCAGAAGAACCGCTATTCCGATCTCTCTGTCGCAACAAGGCCGCCCTCTGCATCCAAGAGGAGGCGACGCGATGGAAGCAGAGGGGGAAGTGCAGGGTGCTGCGGGAAGGGGATGCCAACACTTGGTATTCCCATGCCCGCGCTTCCATGCACTTGCGGAACAACCGCATCCAGCAGTTGGAGATATGATGATATTTCTTAGCGTCACTATTAAAACAGAGTTTTAAATCTAGTCCCTAGCAACAGCGCCAGAAATGGTTGTTGCTATTTATTAACGTGTCACTTGTTTTTAAATAGCCACCTATTATAAACCTATATCTCCTAAGTTTACTAGGTTGTCATCCCTAGTGATGATATCAGAGATAATTGTTGGTACTACATAGCATTACTACTAGAATAATACTAAACAGTTCTTTATTAATTATGTGACTAAAGATGGCAACGGGTAAAATACCCGCGGATACAGGTATCACGAACCCGCACCCGCGAGAATATTTTTGTGCCCGCGCCCGCGCCCGCCACCCGTCACGGGCAGCATAATGCGCCCGCGCCCGCAATCCGCGGGCATGCCTTACCCGCGGGCATGCCCGCATACCCGCCAACCTCAAAACAGTGAGAAATAGGATAGTCGAATTGTAGAAACAAACGCATCCATATATACATCTTACATCAAATTCAAACATGTAGGCATCAATTTGAGCTAAATCAAATCCATGGCGTCGAAATAGGCATCAATTTAAGCAAGATTGATTTCTTATATGCTGATTCGCAACAAATATTTGCTAGTTCCCATGTCACAAAATCCAAAGAAAATATCAAACATAAATAAACAAGAATCTCTCAATCGTAAGCTTCTTGCATCATGCACCATCCATCAGTCACGGGACTTCAAGATGCGACAAGAAAAGGCACTGCATCTACGGGCTACGGCTTGGGGATTAGGAAGCAGCGAGAAGG